CTCGGTGCTGACCAGGTCATTGACTACAAGTCGGAGAAGTGGGGCACTGTACTTACAGAGCACTCCGTTGACTTGATTTACGACTGCGGAGTGGAGCCGGAGTCGTGGGCCATGGACGCCCAGAAAGTGTTGAAGAAGAGCAGCGGCAAGTTCGTGACTATCGGCATGGGACCGAAGCCTATTGAGTCTCCCATCGGTGCGACATTCCACCAGCTCTTCTTGCACCCGAACTCGGAGGACATTCACAGTCTGACCAAGTTGGTTGAGGCTGGTCACGTGAAGCCTACCATTGACTCGGTGTACCCACTCGACAAGCTTCTCGACGCCATCAAGCTGCAGATGTCGAACCGTGCGCAGGGCAAGATCATCATTGAGATTTGCCCCGAGTAACTTTGCCTGCCTTCTCGCAGCAGCAAGGAGTAACATGTAGCTTTCTCTGATGAAATATCACAACGTACTTTTACCAGTTCTCAAAAAATCAATATTTGCGAAAGCATTCACATCCGAACAAGATAATATTCACTCTGTGAATCTTTAGAAAAGAAATAAAAAAAAGAAGAAGAAAAAACATTTATTTTTGTCACTATTGATTCGAAAGGCATGCAATTCTGAAAATTGTTAGTTAAACTGGTTTATTCCTTGGGGTGCCACAGTGCCTTGAGGTCGGTCAGTGCTTGCTCAATGTCTTCAGCAAACTTGTCCGAGCTAGTGGACGGGCACGATTTCTTGCTGGAGATGTGGAAGCCGAGCATATTTTCACCTGCGATCATGTAGCTGACTCCGTAGCCATCTTCAGCGACAGGACCAAAGCCACCACCAGGGCAACGTGCATCGTCGATGGAGTACTGAGTTCCCTTTAGAGCCTTCTCAACGAGAGGCCAGTTCTCTGTCTGTTGCTGAGGCTGTTGACTCGTCGAGAGGCGCCACGGGCGACTGAGTGCGTTGTTCAGGAACGGCGACTCAATGCCAAAACCCACCGACACGCAGTACAGTGTGAACAAGTGACGGTCGATACCTTTGCCACTCATAGCGTTCCTGTAGCTGTCCTGGTGCACGTCACAAGCGCGTTGCAGCAGCTTCAACTTCTCCGCATCGGACAGTTTGGGATCGACCATACCGAGCACAAACTCCTTCGATTCATCCGTCACCGGTCGTACAGTTTCCGTACGACCGTCACGGTACAACCGAGTCATACTTGACTCGTACGTCTGTGCGATCGTACCCGAGTTACGGTAGTATGCAAGTTGCAGTGCCATCTGGATAAAAGCGTCAGGGCTTACTCGAAATTTCTTGATCAATCCCTTGCCATAGTCCGTGTGCGAAATGACCTTAAGATCAAAGTCGCTGATGGATTTCTCGGCGTCTCCCAGTGACTTAAGCACAGCATCTTGCAGACCCGTCGAGAAATCCCACTGCAACATTCTACAAAGCGGCAACTTGGACTCTCGCTCGTCATCAGACTGGACCAAGGTGTCTCCATTATCGTCGTATGGCATTGTATACGTCTGCTTGGTGTATACGTGTTCCCACGCATGAGCCATCACAGGAGCATCGGCCCATGCGTGCTCAGCGTTAATACCTGCCACGCTGTTCTTGTATATAACCAGGTTAAATGATTTATCGAACCAGCGGTTGCCTCCACTGCCATGGATGAGATTTTTGCCCATCGAAGTCCAGTCTTTGGCCACATCATTCTGCAGCACCACTACAAACACCGACGACTCGATAACCTCTAGCGAGCGCTTATTAACGCCGCTAGAGAAAAATTGTTCGCGATTTTCAGCCCATTCGATACGTCCAGCAGCAGTGAGTGCAGCCAAGTTTTCTTCCGCTTTACTAGGAGCTCCCATAGCCAACGCCGTCGTCTCAATCCACTCGAACTGACGCTGGATCTCGAATTTCGTAAGTAATTTACCATATTGGCCTTTTTCAAACAGTGGCATCTTGAACACGCGACCGTGGCAGAACACGGCAATATGCTTCGATTTGTGCTGATACAACTTGAGTGAGTCCGTCTCCCGGCCAGGAATGCGAGTACAGGAGAAGATCCGTTGGTATTGACTCATACAGAGCGGTACAATGCCTCGAATGAGTTGCGGTGGCAGGTGTTCTCGGTCCAGATCCTGTTTGAAGAGAAGGAATTCATGCACGAGAGCGGCAGCCAACGCGACAGGCTTTTTAGTGAGACTGAAGTCGAGATTGGCTCCAGGAAGGGCGTAGTAATTGCTGTTGATCATGAGCGACGAGCGGCCTTTAAGGTACACGTACTTCTCCCACCAGTCTGTGACGTAGTTGGACGACCACCAGCTCTTAAGGTACAGATAGAACTGGAGCTTGGGACCTTCCTTGTGTACGAACTCGTGGGCCATGCGCTCCACTTCCTCGTACTCTTTAGAGGTCAGTAAAGGGTGCACCGACTGGAGATAGCGCTGTATTGTGTCCTTCAGTGGTGGCAAAGGTAGTCTCGGTAGTGCGTCTTGGAAAGAGTAGGTTAAAGGATGACGACCACCGAAAATCTTCAACAGCGCGGCCCAGGCCATCACCACGCGGCTCTTCTGCCTCGGAGCGAGGTATAACCAGCCTCTGTAGCTCAATAGTAGACGTAGGAATAGTCTCTGGACTGCCATGAGCACCAAGAGGCCCAGGAATGCTGCCCATGCAGCCAGATACGCCACGTAGATCGAGTTTGGCAACCTGTGCCAGTATGGCATGAGGAAGTTGCCAACATGCCACACGACCACCGAAATGGGTCCACTGCGCCACCATGATTCGGTAGGGGACGACACAACAATCACCGAAATCGCTACCACTGTCAAGATAGCTACAAACGGCGGCGCGGGGTACACGCCGCGTCGGACGGCTCGCTGGAGGTGGAAAAGTTCGCGGACGACGCTGCGTCGGATCTCGTGGGGCGGAGGGATAGTGAACGAGATGCGGATGCCTTCGTCCGAGTACAGCAGCTCCACGCCGCGCTTGTGCTCCTCGAAGACGCCGATGGCCTGATGCGCTTCTGCCATGGCTTCCTCTCGCTCGTGTTCGGGTGTGCTCGAGGCCGCAAATTGGGAAGTGACGATTGAAATAAAAGGCAACAGGTTGCGGAGTGATGGTCAGAATAGTTTTTCTGGTGGCGGTTGGTAGGAAAACAACGTGGCCGACCAATTGAAAAGTGGTGCTGAGTACTGAAGTGGTGGTGTTTTTCACGGCGTGTTGGCTTGGTTGTCGGCAAATGTGGCCAACCGGCATGCAACGTTTGCCAAGTTGCACTTGCAACTTCTTGTAAAGTCTTTTTGACCAATAGGAGAATGTTGGAGAACTCGAAGCAGCCAATGGCAGACGCTCTCACCAAACTTCAGATTCTCACGACGGTTCGGAAGTGGGCGTTGAAGTGAAGGGAAGTGCGAAAATGACGCTGTCGACGAAAACTCGCGGTTAGAGACCTGTCTGCTGGATGAGATGGCAAGTTGGCAAAACTTTGGCCATGTTGTGTCGCAAAACCTAGTGTGTTGTGCTTGCATATAGCTGCTGATTACTTCATGGTCGCCAGAACATCGCCTGCTAGCAATGTGCCTCGCTTGGGCTGGATCAAAGTCGGTGCTATTGAGTGCCTGTTCCTGTGACGTTGCAGTCTGAGCGGTAGGATTGCTGAAGTGTAAAACGGATATTTCGATGGTCGTTGGTAAGCTTCCGTGGCTGACAAGTCGCTGTTGTTGTTTTTTGTGCAAAACGTTTGAACGTGAACTAAGTTATTTCGAGTATTCAGAAGTTATTCGGGCTGTTCGAGAGAAATAAAACTCACTCGTAGAAATTAGAAACCTAAGATACCTTCTGAACTCACTAACTGTATTCGTCAGCAAGACTTCTCTTTGCTCTTATTCCTTCGCAATTTCAATGATGATCTTGCCTTGGGCGCGACCAGACATTTGGTGCTTGATAGCATCCAGCAACTTGTCGAACGGGTAGACCGAGTCAATGGTAGTTTTAAGTTTACCGGCCTCGATCAGCTTGCGGAGACCTTCCAAGTCCTCAGCAATCGGATGACAGTAATACTGAACCAACTTCGCGCCAATCGGCGAGTCCGCTTGGTTTTGAACCATGCCGATGGTCAAGAACTGGCCGCTGTTCTTCTTCAGGATCTTCTGGGCGTCAGTGGACCACGTCTCGGATTCGACGGCGCAGTCGTAAATAATGTCCACGGAGTGCTCAGCGAGAGCGTCGACCCACTTCTCTGAGGTGTAGTCGATCACCTGGTCAGCTCCCAGAGATTTAACCAGCTCCTTGTTACGAGGACTCGCTGTAGTGATGACTTCAGCCCCGAAAGCTTTGGCAATCTGGATACCAGACTGTCCGACGGCACTACCACCGCCCAGAATGAGGACACGCTGTCCTGCCTGCACCTTTGCACGGTTAACCAGTCCCTGGTAGCTAGCAAGGCCAGCAATCGACACGCCTGCTGCTTCATTCACCGTGATGTTGCTCGGTTTGTGGACGATGTGGTCCGCCTCGAGCGTAATGTACTCTGCGAAGCTTCCCATGCACTGCATATCCGCCGAGCCGAAGACAGCGTCACCGACCTTAAAGCCACGCACGTTGCCACTGCCGACCTCAACGATGATGCCCGACAAGTCCATGCCCATACCCAGAGGCTTCTCAGGTGTGGGTCCAACCGCAATGGCGAGAGATCCGAAGTAGTGTAGCTTGTAGTCGAGCGGATTCACAGCAGCACTCAGCACCTTAATGCGAACATGGTTGGGCTCCAGAGGCTTCTGCTGGACTGCCGAGTTCAGCTTGGTCTCAGTGAGTGCGTCACTGTAGTTAGCGAACTGGTAGGCCTTGAACGTCGCGGGGATGCTGGACATCGTTGCTTCAAAAGAGTGTTTGTTGACTTGTAGTCGAGATGGAAGATTGTAAAGTGAGTGAGCGGGGGAGAAGTGATCATGTTGGTGCTCTGTTGAAGGAATATGCTGCTCAATTTGTGCTACTTGAAGGGCATGCACTCTGCTACGAGAATGAAGGCAGAGCGAGTGAACAGTGCATATACAACCAAGGATGCACATCCAAACTCCTGATCCTGGCACAATCTGCAACCTGAAGATAACGGAATTGCTGATTGCAGCGAACAATAACGGGCTTCATGTATGGTAGGTTTTTGACACGTGTTGATATTCGTCTCAAATACAAGAGATTGTTTTTGCCAAAATAGTTAGCATCTGCATGTATTCAATTGGCAGCATGCCTCACAACAACCCAGCTTGTCGAAATGTTTGGTAATCGAGTTTTTCGGATTACGGAATGTACAATACCAGTACCAATATCCAGTGTGAGCCGCTCAAACCAAAGCAAAACATCGAATGGGGCGGTGAGAGAACATATTAGGAATACGTACCAAAGACGTTCTTCTCATTCCGCGACTGCATAATGATGTTCGAAGCTTAATGAACGTGGTGACAAGAGTTTGAAGGAAACGACAGTTTGAAATTTATTCAGTCGATTCAATTAGATTTTGAGCTGTATTTCCTTGTTGGTTAAACTGGTAAATGGAAAAATAAATGCAACGCGCAAATCACATCAGTCCGCCGCCATGATCGAATACAGCATTCGCTCTGTTGGCCCAACCTTTGCTCACCCCCAAACCAATCTTCCGCTTGTAATATGACGTCCGTTTACAGCGCAAGTGTGCTCGATCATGAGAGTTACATGGAGATTTTACGGAACATTGGCACGGGTCATTCCACGCAAATTCTCCTTACTCTTCTCCGGTTGTGCTTCACGTTCAGGTTCAACATTTCCACCGACCAGGGACATCCACTCACCTGCTCCACCCTGAGGTGGACTCGACTCCGTTCTCACCTTCTCGCCGTATTTGGTCGACTCACCACCTGTGTACGCATTGTACGCACTGGTGTCCGCACCCGCGTAGGTGTTGATATTCTCACCATACTTGGTCGTCTCGGCACCCATGTACGCGTTGTATGCACCGGTTTCCGCACCCGTGTAGGTGTTGTATGCACGCATCGGCTGTTCACCTTGTGGAGCCATCTCGGTTATCGGAGACCCGTACGCCGCTCCTTCCGGACTCGGCTCCGTTCTCATATTCTCGCCGTATTTGGTCGACTCACCCTCACCACCCGTGTACGCATTGTACGCACCTGTGTCTTTACCCGTGTAGGTATTGTAGGCATGCATCGCCTGTTCGCCTTCGGGAGCCATCTCGGCCATTGGCTCCCGCGCCACTCCTGCTGGACTCGACTCATACTTGTCTTTGTTGTTGTCCGACTGGAACTCACGATCCTGTTGCTTCGGGGGTTCCATAGGGAATTCGGGGTTCCATGCCGTAGAGCCAACACCTTCGGGTTTACTAGCAGACGAGTCCTCCGTATTTTTTGCCGCACGTGGTGGATTCGTCGGCACCGTCGGATTCCACTCAGGCTCATTTTCCGGCGAAGTAGCTTTCGACGGCACAGGCGGATCGGTTGGGTAGTTGGGGCCCCAGGTCTTGTCGTCAGCACTCGACGGTATCGGCGGCTCCGTCGGGAAGTTCGGTCTCCATGGCTTCTCCTCACCCGGTTGACTACCAGTGATACCTTCTTGAATCTTTGATTCCTTGTAGTCGGTAACCGGACGGGGTGGCGCGACCGGTTTATCAGGATTCCAGTGGGCCTCACTACTTGACTGGGAGCCGCGTGAAGCAGAAGATCCTTCACTAGCCGCAGACTCACCACCAGCATTTGCTTCAGCTTCTGATGATTCTTCCTGACTCGGTGCAATTTCCTTCGCCTGGTACTTGTCGGGGATACGGTCGTCGTTTATCGGACAGTACTCGGTCGTCAACTTCTTGTACTTCTCGTCAAAGTTCTGCTCCGTCATCACCTTGTCATCATGCTGTTTAAAACACAAACGGTAAACAACTACGCGCTTGAATACTTCAAATACCCTGCATTACCTGTTGCGCGATGCGAGCGACACAATTCGAGTGTTTATCGAAGTCTTCTCTCAGTAGATCGGTGATGCGATCCTTCTCCGTTTCGTTGAGCCCTGATTCGCCCACACGTTGAAGTGCCGCATCGCGGTTGATTGCGAGACGGTCGAGGTATTCCCCAAGTGTGACTTGGCCATCTCCGTCTTCATCGTAGACAGAAAAGCTAGGCACGGTCACTGCATTCGACGCGGCGCCTGCCGGGTCACTCGCCATTGCTTGTGACGCAGCCGTCTTGACCTGATTAGAGGTCGTCGACTGCAAGAAGACACACACGGTCCCGACAGCGAGCACCGTCACGGCGGATATTGTCAACACAGCGAGACGCTTCTTCTGGGCACGTTTTTGCTGCAGTCGTTGTTGACGCTTTGGTGCTTCGACCTTGCGTCCAATGAAGGCGGTCTCTTCATCCGGCAGTCGGATGGGGGTGCCGGGCTCCCCTTCCATCATGGTTTCCGACAAACCTGCGTTCCTTCCGGTCTGCAAAGAAGATAATGGCTAGCATTCCCCATTGTCGCGAGCTTTCGAGCTAGTTTGTTGCCGAGCAGTCGGGAATCAACGGTTCATATTCGCCTTGGAGATGATCGAGGAGGCGCCGGAATCCGAGACTTGCCACACTAAAGATTTCGCGTCCCTCTATGGTGTTGATGTGGGGCGCAGGGACAGTCAGAAGTCTGAGGGGGGTAGATTTGAACTTAAATCAGTTGGCTGGGAAATACTTGTACATGTAACTTCAACCACAACATGAACTGCGTTGCGTTTCAATCGGACTTGCTTCCGCGTTAGCAATCCAAACCCCGTAGTGGTACAGTATTCAACATTCTTCACGTTCATTTTCACGCCCGTGAAAATGCGCTGCAAATGTTGTCACAGGTATGTGCAGCCCGCGGTGACAAGAATCTCGATAGATTCTGCAAGAAACCACTTGTGTCAGCATGACAAGTTGTCATTGACAACACGAGCAACGGAAGAAGACCCGCTTTATAGTACTGGTAAGCTGACAAACTTTTCCCGGCACGCACATCCTGGGCGCACCAGACCAGGTCTATCCTTTGCGGACTGCCCGACTCATGCTGAGGTGGTACAGTAGTCCCTGAAAAGCAGAGATGGCTCAGAGGTATGCTTCTCGTTTCGTGTTGAGAAGAATTCGGTGAAGATGAAGACTTCAACTACGGTAGTATTAATACAAGTAGTACTATTAACTCATGCTACTGCTAGATTCACGACTTTTGAGTATCGGAAAGAAAAAAATAGCAGTCGTGATCAAGTTGGATGAAAACTGGCCTGAGCCTTACTATAATTAAAAAATGGCGATACTACTGCTATTTCTATGCTGTAACTTAGCTCTGCACCGTCATCGACGACTGCTGTGTGTTGCGCAGAGCCTGCAGCAGACTGGGGAGTCGAGGAGAGCACGTCAGAGACACTGGGCTCACAGGAGACACATTTTTGGGCATAGCAGGCATCGGCAGCTCCATCTGACGAGGAATAGCCTCGTGCAGAGGGCGGGTTGACACAGGAGACACAGGCGTCGTGTTCTCCCAGTTGAGGTGGGCCACGCAGAAGCGCTTGGACTTGCGACTGCGCATGCAGCCCTTGACCTCACAACGCTGGCCACCACCGTGCGCCCAGCAGAAGTCGCTGCGGCTCTGGGCGCCCTTGGTGCACCCAGCGTGTTGGCAGCGGCGACCGCCGCCGTGACCGCGGCACAGGCCCCGGCTCACCGAGATCTTGTCGCATCCCAAGACCTGGCAGCGCTTGCCGCTGCTGCTGTTAGCACCGCGGCGACGGCGCGTACGGGTGACGCGGGGCTCAGTGCGGTGCAGATACTCGTCAGTGTGGTTGTAGACGCGGACGCCGCCATTGCTGGAGCTGTCCGAGTGGTACAGCGGCGAGTTCGGCAGACTAGAGACCGAGGACGTCTCGTAGCGAGAATTGGCGTGGATGTACTGAGACATCGACGAGATAGGAGCCTGTGGCTGAGACTGCTGGTAGGACATCGAGGAAAGAGCACGCACAGCGTCGAAGCGCGCAGTAGACTCCTCGTTCTGGGGCTGACGAGCGTACAGGAGCGGCTGCAGCTGCTGTGGCTGTGGCGCCGGGATGAGGCGCTCCAGGTGCTTCACCAGGTCGTGGCCGCGCGGTAACACGATGGAGGAGGAGCGGTCGTTGCCAAGACCGATGGAGATGGAGATCGTCTCGGACTCCGGGGCCTTCACAGGCGTCTGGGTGTAAACCGGAGCGGTTCCGTGCATCATCATCATTCTTAGACGCTCTGTATGAGTTGCTGAGTCTTGAGCTTGGGAACGCGGATTGCAGAATGACTGGAAAACAGGGTGAATGCGGTCGGGACGGAGGGGATGGTCTTGGCGGGCGATCTGGAGATAGAATGAACAAGTCATTTGTAGGGGTTTCACCCCTCCATGTGAGGCGGGAGCCAGCAGCGACAATGCTGTTGAGACGAGGGCGCGCGGGAAAGGGTTGCAACCCTAATCTCGGTTAATCAAAAAGGCAACACAAGGCTTTTTGGCAAGGAAATTCACGAGTGCAAGCGTGACAGCACGGTGCTTTCCGCTCTCGATGAACGTGTGTGCGCGAGGTTGGCACGGGTTTGGAAGGGAGTACTGGGCACAGCAACGGCGAAGTTTCAGCTTCTATCGACGCCTGGAAAAATCATTTTAATCCTTCAGCCACGACTAATCCTGAGCCGTTTCGCAGAGAAGGGGCCCGCAACAGCATTTTTACGGATTCTTTCAGCCCAGTTTTGGACCGAGCAGCATCGCAGACGGCAAGTTTGGCTCTTTTTCAGTCGACAGTTGCAGGTGATTCGTGCAGTTCACACCTTTCACTGCTGGCTAAATTTGGTGAAGAGAACACCGTGAATCTTGTCTTCCTAAGAAAGCAACCCAGCGAACGGCCAATGCAAAGCACCTGCCCTGAAGTGAAGGCAACCTACAATAGCTCTATGGCCACGTGGTGAACCTACGACGCACGATACAAACACCAAGTACACAACTTGCAGGCGTCATCGTAGAAGATTGGTTAGGGTTACAGTCGAATTGTAACGTCTGGGATGCGCCAGATTAATTTCTGCGCACTGGCTCAGCTGATTAATTGAGAGCGAATCCAGCCAATCACAGCTCGACTCTGACAAATGGCTTTTGGGGTCTCGAATAACTCCATAGCGGCGACAAAAACCACCGACACTAGCCGCTGTATATTTCCACTAATGCTATTGGTGTATTTGTATCGCGGCACCCGTTACCGACGCACTGCGGGTCCAGCGTTCCTTTTAATCGGTCGTGCCGTGAGAAGGGGCAAAAGAGACGCATTTCATCTAGCCAATCAGAGCGCACCAATTGGCGGTATTTCACCATTTGAAGCTCATTTTAATCTTTATTATCCAGCGATTTGGCGTGCCATCATTTTGCTCACCTCGGATTTGAGGTTCAATTCTTCACAATAACCGCAATAATGTAGCGATTGGATACGCTTTGAGCGCAGCTGCAAGGAAGTTCCTGCTTGGAGTAAACGCCGTTAGACTCTCATATATTTGCATGTAGCTGAAATGTCGTTTGATGTTGCAGTTTCAGCCTTGTCGTACATGTACTTTCAGCACAGAGGATCCCTACGATTTACTGTATCGCACCCAAAAATCCTCGGCGTTTTTGCTATTTTCACGGCATGCTATTGTCACTTTTGCAGCGCAGCTGCCGCTTGGGTCGCGCTGGAATAATCACAACACCATTCGTAGGGATGGTTTTGGACTCGTTCAGAACGGTCTAAAATACTTTTGTAAAATGTTCAAAATTCGTCCAAAATTCGAAAGTCTTCCAAACTAAGTAATAACATATGCCTAAAAGGAGGTAAGGACTTTTGCACACTTTTGAACATTTGGAAATAAGTTTCGTGCTAGGGAGTTGACGTTGCGCCGCTACCGGTCCATCCTGTGCTTGGAGAACTGACGTGCCCCGCTACCAGACCACGGCCGTGCTTGGAGATCTAAGGAGCTGACGTTGCGCCGTCTGACGGTCCGTTGCTGTGCTTGGAAAACCAAGGATCTGGCCGAAACGCTTTCGAGTACTTATTGCTCCAGCTGTTCCTGTCTTTGGTAGTGTCCGAGTCTATGACGCACATGATCATCATCACCGTGACGTACTACATCAGCAGTGTCGTGGTGCTCGGCGTGTTCATGCTGTGCGAGTGATTGGATAGTATCCACAACTCTTCATTTTACTCGCAACTTTTGGGCTGGATCAGAGATGATGGCGGAGCTGCAATTCCTCGTGCACTTCAACCGCACTATATGCGCCTCCTTCCCCCTCCAACGCGGACACTTTCTCGCTTACCACCTCCTTCATCAGGAGCGCGAAGGCGTACTCTCTTCGCTGCTCGATTTGTACGTAAATGGCCGCAAAATCGACGCTCCAGCCATGTGCCGAGCTACCCAGCAATTATCCGCGCCCGACTGCGCGGCGAATTGCGCGGAGGCAAAGAGCTTTCGGTGCGATGTTGCGTAGCATGGGAAAAGCTTCTGGAGCCAAAGCTACAAAGGCCTTCGGTGCCTGTCGAGATCTTCACGGTCGTCGACTGCGTCATGTGAACCAGGAGGTGGCGCTACACAAGTGGCAGCAGGACGCCGAGGCTCGAGCCAAGAGGGAGAAGGATGGGGTCGAAGCGCGAGAGATTCTCGATGAATAGACTCCCAGCGGCATCCCTGGCTGGAATCTAGCCACTCCTTTATGGGCTGAAGGGGTGAAGAAGCCGCACATGAAGAGGAAACGCAACACAATGTTGTGCAGGAAGTGGCTGAAAGCTAGAGAAGGAGGGCGCATGCCACTGTCAGGATCTCCGAGATGGTGAGGATGTCCACGAGGAAGAGACTGCAACTTCGCTCATGGAGATGAAGAGCTTAGGGGTGAAGCTTTTTTAAACTGAGTTTAAACGATTCAAGAAGAAAGAAGCGCAGAAAGCTAAGCGGCAGGACCTGCAGGGCTACGTCGACTTTAAACAGGAAATGCCTGATGACTTTCTGGATGCTATCAAGAACGGACTGCGGAATCAAAAAAAATAAAACCTAAAAGTGAAGTGCACGACAATGAACGGTGTTACCGTCCGAAGTGATGACGCGCATCAGTGTGCGCTTGGTTTATCGCCCTGTACCGGTAGTGGAAAAGCTCATTTGAGGAAATGATGAAGAGAATTCTGTTGGAGCTACGTCCACGCACAGACTGTTGAGTTGCGAGGTGAAGGCAATTTTGACACAGCAGCGGTGCAACACTGCGTCTTGTGGCAGCTGGTGTCGGATTGCTGGCAGATTCGATTTTCAAGGCCAATTCGGAGA